GCCATGCCATGTTAGAATTTTCAAATTTCAATCAATAAAATCAATTAATCCTATTAAGAAATAAGAAGGATTTTGGATGCTGTATCAATAAATATATGCGATACTATGGATACTATGCTTGGTACGAGCCAAGTCACTAACAGCTATCTGCGTTAAATCGGAGTCTCTTCCGTTAGATAAGAAAGGGTTGATCAGCCGTTGGTCCATTGGAATTCTCCACGACGCAACGGCACGTCGCTTTTCCGTGCAATTGCCTCCTAATTATCGCCGTCAACTAATAACTCGCATTAATTTCGAGCGATTTAGTGGCGGCGGCGCGTGCGCGTTACGAATCCCCCGATCCGGCAACACCAGCCACCCCCGCGAGCATCGAAGTTTAAATTGAATTGGGTTGGCATGGCACGGCGTTAGTTCGCAAAACTATACCTCCCCGCCTATAGATATATAGCATGGCTACACGTAGCAGCACGTGTAGCTGTTCAGGGCTCAGCCAGCATCGTATCCGAAGACCATCGACTGGAGAATAGTGCTCTCTGTTTATGGGACAAGTAACGCTATGGAGATACACAGTTGAACTGGCAACGAGCGTAGGAACGTGCACCGGCGCCCGCCTAATGCCGGCTACACCCCTTCCGAACGTTTTCACCCCGACGCCCTCTTCTTCGACACCCACTTCTCAACCTGCTACGATTTCAGCTGTCTAGCCTTACCGGGCCCGACTGTGTACGCGCATATACGCGTGTAGGTGGACGCGAACGACTACCACGAGAATCCAAGTGGACCAAGAGAGTTTCGTCCTTTCGTTGCCCCGACGAAAGAGAGATCGAGGGAGGAAGTCAGGAAGAGACAAAGAGCCACCGGGAGTATCGAGCCGAGAAGGTATGCTTCTTGCACGTAGGGTTGTTGCTTATCGGGAATGTATAGTGTGTTGGTCAGGTCGTTAGCAAGTTGTCGAGATTAAATGCCTTCCAGCGTATTAGAAGCTGCACTAGCTTGATTAGCCCCCGACCCGCGATGGTGATTCTCGTGAGGGGGTGGCATCGATCTCTCCTCGCCAAGGATCCTCTGCCCTTAACACCGGGAACCATCGTCGCTACCGAACACCTACCTCCGACTCGCGTCACACTCGATATCGCTACGGAAGTGTATTATCTGTTTGCCATTTAAGCGATAACCGATAGTTACTCGGTTGCTTCGTCAGGATGTACACTGTAGTAAAGGGAAGGACTTGTGTTTGTGTCTCTGTTGAAAACTTGCGTTCGTACATTGTTAAAGAATCTTGTACATCTGTTAATAAAAATTCCTTTCTTGGAAATTACAATATTCCGCGTTGTTTGACATCTATGCTTCTCAAAGACGAAAGGAAGGTATTTTAATTTACAAGTCGAGCCGCACTGTTAAGTAGTAAATGCGTACGAAGAATTAACGCGGAGTCACTGTGTAAATGTAAATGTAAATCCTCTCGACTCCGTTCTCTATTCCTTTCGTCCGTACGAGATTTCTTCTATGTCTTTCATGTAGGCTTGTTACTGCCTAAATGAGTAAACCAGCTAAAACCACGTCGATGCGGGCAAGAAGGCACCCTCCGGACGGTTGCTTAGCAACGTATACGAGCCTTCGCACATGATATCAGTAGGACGAGAAAAGCTCCTCGTACGAATGGTTTGATCTCGCCAAATGGTCTGATTTCAACGTATACACACCCAATAACATGCAGATCTCTTCGTTTCCTCCTCTTTCCGCGATAGATGTCACAGATAACCGAATTCTTCCGACCGCCACTTTGCGACCTCACGATTATTCGAACCGTTTACATTAATAGTCTCAGATTATCATCCTATAAATGCTATTAATTTAATTTATGAATCAATACAATGGTTGATAGTTTATACATTCTTTAGATTTCAATGTAAGAATGATTTTTTAAAAAATTGATTAACACGATGTTATACCAATTTCTTTTGTAAATAACATCCGATCACATGACATTTCTATTTACTTGCTTTTCATGAAATTTTATTGAAAATTACCGAAAACGTAAAGTCAAACGAGCATATTCTTCTAAAATTGATATTTGGCATTCACCGGAAAGCTGACTTGT